GCAAATGAGCAGACGGATCACATGATGGTAAGCGATCAGCGCCGCCCAAGGACACCCGCAACACCAGAGGAGTCACAGGTGCGTTGCCGGCCTTTTAAAAAGGAATACGCTCTTTTCTTGAAGATTTGAACTACTAATTACTCGTAAACCGTTATCTATTAACCTTTTATCTTATTATATATTATTATTTTAATGTACTGTCTTCAACAATGACTGTACAACGGTATCAACTGTCCGTGGTAGTCCGTTACTGGACTATGAGCCTTCTGTACTTAAGACAAGTTTGAAAATGAGACAATTTTGCGTCCCACATTTCATTTCGGGGACAACGGGACTCGTAATTATAAAAAGGCGCAGTCCCATTCAAAACGGGATGCCTGATCACGTTATGTATGCTACTTTATGGTATTAGTTTAACAATAAAGTGTTGGAGAGCCATGCTTCGGCACGAATGGGCCGGCTAGACCGGAGTGATACCACGGCCGAGCAGAAAACCGACGTGGAGCAACGCTTGCGTTGTGTTTCGTCGTGTGAGTGAGGTTACAGGAGGTCCAATTACCCTCCGCTTCCACAATCCCCCCAATCCCTGAATCCTCAACGATCCGCAAACTCCTAATCCCCAAATGGCCGGTAACTCACTTGTAATACCTGTGGTATTTCAGATGTTCATGGGCGACGTCGATTGCTTACCATCAGGTGATCCGTCTGCTCGTTTACCGGCTTATGCCATAAAAAAACTGTTTTTTTTCGTATTATATGGAGCATGGAGACACAATAGAAATAAAATATGATTTCTATACTGTACTGGTATTTTTTGGATGGTTGTACTACGCCGGTCAAACCCGTCCATTCAAGCTTAGATTTCCTATCATAAAAATAGAGACGAAAATGTCCCTAAAAAAAGCCGAAAAAATGCGCATTAACTTTGCCCTTTTGTAACACTCGGCTCTCATTTATACAAGTACGCTATTACAAAGAAAAATGGACCTTCCTACCTACATACAAAATCGCACATCAAGGTGCACCACACTGCAAAAGAATTATAAACTTTACACCCTTGTTAAACGGTTGAAAATCACTTACATTATATTGGGAAAATGACGTAGCTTGTAGTGCTGGCTGTGTTTTATGTAAAACAAAATGTAGATTTAAATTCGCACATCAACTTACACCACGCTACAAAATCATTGTAAACTTTACTGCTCTTATAATAAGGTTGAAAAACAACTACATTGGCAATGGTATAGTTCGTTCTGCTGTGGGTTTTTCGGATAAAACAAAAGACATGCGAAAAAATGGTTAAGCGTAGGCGAGGGACATAATGTAACATAGTGAATCATACCTCTTATTGTGACGTAGGGGGATTTTACTATAGTGTATATTTTGTATATCTCTCTCCGGTCGTTCCCTCATTACTGAGGATTATGATCATGTTGGCATCACTCTGGATGGGACAAATTGTCTCCATCGGCTCCATGTACGTATGTAGAAATGAAATTGAAAAGGATTTGTTTTGACAGTTTTTTTGTACATATTGTAGTTTTTTTTCACGTCATTATATCTTTTATATCGTCACAGAGCCACATTATGTGGTTCTTTTGCTTATTATTCAATGTAAGCATGGGAGAGCCATGCATTGGCACGACTGGGCCGGCTCGACCGGAGTAATATCACGGCCTCACAGAAACCTACGAGAAACTACACAAGCGTTGTGTTTCGTCGTGTGAGTGAGGTTACCTGATACCCAATTACCTCGTATTAGCATACCCGGTAAAATGGTTGTAACTTTTTTTATGCGGTAATCCGATAAACGAGCAGACAGCACCTGATGGTAAGCGATCAACGCCACTCATGGAATACCAGATGCGTCACAGGTGCGTTGCCGGCCTTTTAAAAAGGAATTCGCTCTTTTCTTGAAGGTCGTATCGGTTCGGAAATACCGCCGACGACAGATCATTCCACAGTTTTGCTGTGCGAGGCAGACCGAGCCTTTAATCAAACATAATTTGTTCAGGCAAGGCTAGATTTATATCTAGGCTGGAATTCTTAACTTAGAACGAGGTTGTGAGGTCATCAGCTAACGTACAGCCTACTTGGGCAACGCTCCAAAACTTGATTAAAGATGTTTTATCTATATACATATAATAAAATTGTAGAAAAGTGCTGTCTGTACATCTGTACATTGAAAATAAAAATAAAAAAAATAGCAGGGGTTATTGTTATGTCGATGTCGAACCCAAAAATGTAATTAACTTTTTTTTTGTCTGTTTGTCTGTTTGTCTGTTTGTCTGTTCACGCTAATCTCAGAAACGGCTGATCCGAGTTGGATGCGGTTTTCACGAATACATTGTGGTATGCTTCAGTTATGCTTTAGTGTTTGTTTCATGTCAATCGGTTCATAAATAAAAAAGTTATGTCAAATTAAAGAATCACGTCGAACACTATTCTATGCTTATACATACAAAATGACTGTGATTATGATCCAAAATAAAAATAAGTATATATTTAAAAAAAAACGCTGCTCATAGTCACTATTCCACGCGAATGAAGTCGCGGGCAAAAAAAGAAATAAATACTATTTTTAGTAATACGCAGTTTAAGTACAAATATTGTTTTGAGTTTGTTTATAATCATGTTCTTTCAATAACCATAGGAAAAATTCGTAAACGTTTTTCTTTATACAACAAATATCTTCGGCTGTACGTTTGTCAGTCAGTCACTCAGTCATGAGTAACAAAAGAGATAAATCACTGTCTTTTAAAATATATTTCTATTTACTCAGTTCAAATTAGTACCCTAATAAATCATTACACACAGCAGTTAGAGTAGTCCGGTATTGGGGCGCGCCTGACCTAATTCCGGCTGCAGCTCGTGCAGTATCTAGGACAATCAATAAAGACAGTGGCGACCTCTACATGTAAGGGGTTTCGGGACCTATTCGGTGTAATATTAACCTGATATTATGTAAATTGGGAAATAACAAAATTTAAAGATAATAAAAAGAAAAGACAATAAAATGGCAATGGGCAGGGCATATGATAAGACAGAGGAATAGGAAATGGACAAAGACAATATCTGAATGGTATCTCAGAGATGGGAAAAGGAGCAAAGGGCAACCAAAGCGTTGGGAAGATGACCCAAGGAGAACTGCTGGACTAGAGTAGATGAGAATTGCGAGCGATAGGGAAAATTAGAAATCTTTGAAGAAGGCCCTTGTTGAAGAACAAGCTGGGGATAATAGTATTGATGCATAATAAAGCATCAGTACTATTACCATAGTGAATGAATTATAAATTCAAAACCTTAGTAATAAATGTCAATTGGTAGAAAAATAGTACCTAATAACTTTCATATCGATTGAAATGCAACTGTAGAGAAACTCCGTAGTAAATACCCCCCATTATACAACACCCACGCAGCCCCCAAAGGTCATAAGTTATAGCCTACAACATTGCCTACAATACACCCACGTTTCAAACATACGATGTAATTCTGTAAAAGTATTACCCCGCTACGCACGCCTACGCGATTTGCTACGAAACGCTACGACGCGCTACGAGCATTGCTACGAATGTTAATCGGTTACGAATTTTGTTTTTTTTTTTGTAAATTCTATACGTTTTGTGTGCAATTTATTTATTTATTTTAACCTCTATCATCAGGCAACTATGGCCCATAGATATAATCATAAATAGCATAAATAATATATTATTGTTTCGTTTGACAATTTTTCACATTTTATTCGTAAGAATGTAATGTGTGTTTTTTTACAAAATCTATGTCGTTTCTAAAGTATGTTTTTTTCTGAATTTCACACTTTTTATTACATAAAATGGCATCACTGTAAATCGCCATGTTGTATTGCCGTTTAGATAAATAAGAATAGGACGATGGACATAGTTTCCTCTTTTTTGGTATAGGCTATGCACTATGTTTCAAAAACAATAATAGTAAAGTGCTAGTCGCGTACCTTACACGTCTGCCAGCTCCTTCGGGGAAGAGCAATCGGATATTGAGGGATCTTATACAAATAATCCAAATCCCAATTTAATAAGTGATACCTATGTCGCCTCTAAAACAAAAGATTCGTAGTTCTGTATGGATTATCTTTGTAATTAAAAAATTACATGTATAGGAATAACACGCCTCTTATTCCTAAAGGGACAAGTTAGACGCTTTGCCAATTATATTCCAAATGTCACTGTGGTATCAACCACACCGGTTGTTAATTTCAGGTTTGGTAGTATTATTACATCTGTAAATAAGAAATTCTTTAAAACTTCAGCCTTTTACAGCACCTGAAACAAATCACCTTATATTACCTAGCGCTTCGTTCATGAGAGACCTACGCCCACTATGATGACCTGATTCTCGATATTGACCAGCCCCCACCCCCCATCTGGCCCAAATGTCACCCCCCACGACCTTTAAACCGCGCATGCGCCAACCACCAACCCTGGAACCTCCTACAGCCCAGATTTCAGTCTGCCTAAAACCGTAGAAGCAATCGTTCAGCTTTCAGGCTGAAATTGTTCCACTTACAAAAATTTCTCTCACATATATGATAAATCCTAATTCAGTACTTCGCGATTTGTATTTCATTAAATATATTTTCGGTTTGAGGCACATAGTTATTTGTTTTTCAACTAAAAATATATCTTACAAGTAGTTTTTTGTGGGAGCCGTTGTAAAGGTACGTTTTTGAATAGTTTTTTTTTATATATATAAAATCGTTAGTTTCAGTAGTTTTTAGTACTTTGATTTTCTATTTTTTTCGTTCTAGCAACATCTGCATTACATTTCTCTTCGCTCATTTTTATAAACGTACGATTTTTGAATGATGATAAAAAATCTAGCCGTCGGCGAAAAGTGACCAAAAAAAATTCTACTTAGAATAAAATATTTTTTTATTCTGGCAACAATGTACTGTGGTAGTGTCAGAATCATTAACGTATTTCTTTTTTCTCTGTTCACAGAACTTTATAGAAGTTATAGTAAAAATGTCAAAGCTGAGTTTGGACGGCTTTTTTTCCTACTGCAAGCAAATAGCAGAACATATACAATTGGTTCGTTCAATATTTCCATCTATTATAATCCGCCATCTTGGTTTTTTGACACGCCCTTTGTTCTCTGTGCATGACTTTTTATATCCATTTTTTTATATTTGAATGCTGATGCATGATTATCTTATGTTGTATAGCTTATCTTTTTTAATCATACCTTCTTGTTTTTTTTTAGATTTTTGCATGATTTTTTGTTTTTATCTTATTATTTTATTTTTATTATTTCGATTTTTCTAGCTTTATGACGGTAATCTAAGAATGCTGTTTTTGGTTTATAATTAGTTATTATTTTAATGTGTCAGCACATTTAAGTAATTATTATTTCTTTTGTTTTATTTTTTCCTTTGGTATTGGTTTTAGTTTTAGTAGCAATTTAACCTTTAATGATAGCAACATTAGATTACAGTAAGTATTTAAGAATATTAATAAGTCGCTTGTAAATGGGAACCAAATATTTTAAAATGTAATTCAATGCATTATAAGCATTAGCATAATATGTTACGTTTTATTAGAAAAAGCTGTGTATAACTTTTGAAATAATATTCAGCTTTTTTAACAAAGCGGCGATGGCTATTGCAATTTATATTACGTAACAAAAGTCCATGTTGGTGTCGGTAATTAGATAAAATACTATCCAACGATGATAAATATTTTAACCTCACTAAGAACTTAAAAAAATCTTAATCAGGTGGTTGATTTAAAACACTAATTTATTCACTATACGCCAAAAACAACTGCAGCGCCATCTTGGCAGCTTTTTTAACATTTTCGATCTATGCTGCTATATTATACATATAAAATAGTATTTTAATGTATGTTTGTGTGTATAGGGGGAGAGAATGGCGTCGCTATCAGGGCAGGGCACTCCGAAGCTCACCTCATCCGTCGGGAACCTGTACTACGATTGTGAGTATCTTTTCTATTTTTACTTCTGTATTCTTGTTTATTTATACTTTCTACGATATAGGGGGAAATATTATAGGTACCTCATGCATGAGAATGCGGGTTCGAAACCTACCAACAGCAAGTACTAATGTGACCTTTTCCGAGTTATATGTACTTTCTAATATTATTTAGACACCACTGACAAACGGTGAAGGAAAACATCGTGAGGAAACCTGGGCTTATAATTTCTAATTATAAGTTTTTAATCGCCAACCCGCATTGAGCAAGCGTGGTGATTAAAGCTCAAACCTTCTCCGTGTGAGAAGAGGCTTTGCTCAGCAGTGGGCATTTATAGGCTGTTGATGATGATGATTATAGGTACAATACTTTTACAAAACGAAAGTTACTATTTCGAAGACATTTTTGTTTATTTATTATTTTAGTACGTGACTGTCGCGCTGCTAGTCGCCATGTCGTGTGTCGCATGTACCTCTACTGCTCATGAATAAGAGGCTCTAGTATGGCTTGAAACTAGTCGAGTTCATCGTCAAATAGGTAACGTGAGTAAGCTGAAAACATAATAATTGATTTAGTATGTCTCAAGAAAGATTTAATATGGAACTGCTGTGTAAGAGTAGGTATCGAAGACCCTCATACATGAAAAGTGGTCGTCTTAACCGCTTGGTCACCACGACCTTTCGAGAAAATATATATTTTGTATCGAGTGGGTAGGTTAGGTAGTTTTACTAACAAGTTGTGTACGGTTTACGTACATTCGTGTCGCGACATCAAGCTAAGTAAGCATATCGGTCGTTTCACTTAGTTCGTAATAATTATTAAAACTGGCTTCAGTGTGTGTACAACCAGCCAACGTAACACTAGCGTATCTGTGAGAATCATTAAAACTATTACTAAACTGTAACTGGTGGATAATAAACCTTCAATAACTAAGTGAAGAGTATTCATTCATCACCACACTCCACAATCAACTCAACCAACTGAACCCAACTAACGGTAGTGTACGGGCAAACTAAACCCGTACAAGTTGATACTGCAATTAATTTAGAAATTTCAAAAGTGTCTATAAGTTAATTATTTTGCAATACCTATTTTCATTTTGACTTCCAATGAATAGCTTAATCATTAATCCGTACACTGTGAACATGGAAACGAACTTTACACTTTAATTGATGGCAGCATGACGCGGCCATATTCTAAACCACTTGATTAATTACTACGAACACATTCAGCTTTTGTGTTGAAAAGGCATTTACAATTACGAAGATTTAGCTGGGTGTAACCGACGTCAAAACAAGACGAGGTTTTCAATTCGTCTGTACGTTTTTTGACTTAGAACCGATTTTTTTTTATGGCATATACGTAAACGAGCAGACGTATCACCTGATGGTAAGCTATCGGAGTCGCCCATGGACATCCGGAACACCAGAGGCGTTACAAGTGCGTTACCGGCCTTTTGGGGATTAGGAGTTTGAGGATTGTTGGGGATTCAGGGATTGGAGAGATTGGGGAAGGGGTAATTGGGCCTCCGGTAACCTCACTCACACGACGAAATACAACGCAAGCGTTGCTTCTGCTCGTTTATTTCATAAAAAAGAGAAATGGCATCCAAATCGAGTCTGATTTACGTCGGAGTCTACCAACCTAGATTATCATAACAAAAATGACATCAAAATCATAAATCCTTACTGATTAAAACTTAACCACTGGCGTCTTATCTTGCTTCCGACAGAGGGCGCCTCTTCCGACCAGCGGAAATGACGAGCGCGCCCTAAGTGTCATATTACAAGGGTAGATGATCATGTCTGATGTATACTTCCTATAAACCATCGGTAGATGGTGTGTGTGTGACAGATGGAGAGATAGAGTTAGGAGTTAGAGAAGGGGCGGCGCTGGTCTCTGTTGCCTTTGTTGGTCGTGTCCTCGCATGCGCATTGCGCGACTGCCAGTTGTAAGGTCTTAGGAAGTGTGAAAACCATGCACAACATGAATAGATCGATCTGAGTAACAGTATACTAGTGTGATACTACCGTAGCCTTATATGTATAGAGCCGCCTTATATATATATGTAACTCACACAGTTAGATTACTAGTGATTCAACCCACTGCCTCGTTGGCCGAGTGGTCGCAAGTGCAACTGCCGGGTTCGATTCCCGGGTCGGCCAAAGTATTACGGAGTTGTTAAAAAAAACATCTCAGTAGTAGCACGGAGTCTGGAATTGTGCCCGGTATATGGCAATAGGCTCACCCCCTATTACATAGGACTCATGACATAAATAGTGAAAAGTGGGTGTTTCTTCTGTGTGCACCTATGCCTACCCCTTCGGGGATAAAAGGCGTGATGTTATATTATGTTATGTCATGTTGGTTCAACCCATTTTAATTCCTCTGGTGTTGCGGTTGTTCTTAAGCGGCGGTGCTAATCGCAATTATATTCAATCTGCTCGTTTGCTTTTTACGCAAATATCTCAGAAAAAACAAAAAACCTAGTTAGTCAACAAAATATGTTAATGTCAAAGCCAAAGTCAACGTCAAAATCATTTATTTCAATTAACCAGGAAAGCACTTTTGAACGTTAATAAAAAATTAAAAGTGAAGCTATTTGCTCATTCCAAGGTGTAGATTCCTATGAAGAAGAACGAGTAAGAAACTCCATAGGTTACAGACCTACTCTTTTTCAATTAGGTTTACAATACAATTATCTAGTTATACATATAGTTTTGTTGGTTCATAAATCTTTCCAATACTTACTTACCTAAAATACCAAAATATTTGTTTAATATTCTCGGCATCTCTATTACAAATAATTTGGCCCAACGATTCATGCTCAACCCTCTTTTGCGACCGGGGTCTATACGACCCAATGTTGGTTTTTATTGTGCCGTATAATAATATACGCAGAAAATATCACTGATGTTGGGGGTAGTGATTTGGCTGGGAAGTGGGATATTTTTATTGAATATTGCTATAAAAAATATCTACAAACCAACGGATTGTGAACTGCTTATCACACTTTCAGTTTTTGATTGATATTTGACAATAAATACTAATTTTTCTAAAGTTCTGAGAATAATTTGTAAAGTTTTAAATAAAATGAAAACGTAAAGACACACACGGAATAGCAAACCATCAATATAATAATAATATACTTTGAACTCAAGTCACCTCTCAAAGTCTTAACATATCAAAACCATACAAAAATCCCCACCAGACATTATCTAAAACATATTTTAAGTGTCTCTCATTCATATCAGTGACTTATTGTCATCTCACGGACCTTCAGCCCCATCCCTCGACCGGGAAGCGAACCCCCTCACCGCGATTAGTTACACGCGCGTGCCCAATATTGAGCAACAATGCACAGCTGCGTTTTACAGCCGCTGCAAGGAATTTAATTAAAAATTCCACTGTTCGTATGTTTGTGTTGATAAATCGGGATAGTGTTCGTAAGTCGATGTAATGCTATTGTGTGGCGGTGGTCCATTCGACCCACCCACGGTTGGTTTAGGGTTGGATATTGGTTTTGACAATATTGCGCTTGTGTGTTGTATTTTAATGTTGGTTTTATTTAAATCTGTTTTTTATGATGAGTGAGTGTGTTGTATTGGTTGTTTCATTAGGTTCTGTCTTATTTTATACAGCGTAAATTATAACCATTGCTGAGTGTGATTAAAGAAGTCTTATAGGCATTTTGATTTCTCTTTTCGGTATTAGTGCAGAATATGTTTAGTAATTTAAAAGGGACCAAAGTCTTAATTAATAAATTGAAACAAATGCATTTCCTCAATTACTACCAGTGATTGTATCATTTTGAGGAAATCATATTATATGATAATTAATATCAAAAAGAACTTCAGTAGTTATATACAATTCTGAAAGTATGTTGTTAATCAACTAAAAAAAGTAAAACAAAAAGCAACAACAAATGCTGAGGTTATAAATTCTCAAACAACACAACACCTGCATCTCTCTAAAACAACAGACTACCACAAAAACAATAAACAATCTCAGCTAACCCTAACCAGCCGGAGCGACCCGAAAGTACCCATGAATACCCCCAAACAAATTAAACTCATAAAATCTAAATTCTCTTTATTACCGCCCTGTCAGGATCTTAAGCCGGCCATTAATAATCGGTCTTCATTTTTCGAGAGGTATTAAAAGCCCATCTATACGCCACATTGAAGGAGATGGCCTATCCGTTAGCTCGCCGGGTACAATTGATAGACTCGGGGTATTAAGGGATTCACTCGTGGAAATAGAATATTTTTTGTGTATTTTTCTTTGTTTTTTTATGTGGAGTAGGTTTTTGTTTATAGTGAGTGTTATTTTCTTGTTAGAATGTTGGTTATTGGCTTAAAATACAGATAATTAGTGTATTATAAAGATATCCTACTCCTAAATCGAGTGTTCACAGATAGCATTTTTATTTATTTAGAATTTAATGATATTAATGTTTTCATCAGAAATAAGCTCATTATGACCTAATAATGTATTACATTAAGAAGTTCTATTAACAAATTCGTAAAGTTAGCAATATACATACATAACTTCACGCCTGTCTCCCATGAGTAGGCAGAGACTATGGAACGCCAATTGTTACTTTTCCTACATACCTCTTTCGCTTCATCAACAGTCATCAATCTTTTCATGCATGCTCGTCGGTTAAGTGTACTTTTAATTTGGCACTGCTTTAATATATCGCTAAACTGGTCAATATAACTCGATTTTTTCAACTCTTACACTCAGCCCAAACTTAGTAGCAAACTCGAACTTATCGATACTAATTTCTTCTCAAAATATCAATAAGTAGCCTATTCCTCTGTACACAACCGAGGCTCAGTCATCCTCACAAATAAGGGATCGAGTGTAAGACCGGGTCATTACCGGGCGGCTCAAAACGTCCCGAGCGCTCACCCGCCGCCTGTGTTTACTGCACGCGGGCGATGGAGGGTTACCCGCGGTCTTACTAATTGAAATAGTACACATTTTTCGCAAGAAATATATACGTTATGTCGGGTAGGAGGTAGTTCTTGAAGTTTTGAAAAGTTATAAGCATAGTCTTTACCTTTATAGTCAGTAGTACCGTCTTTAAAGACCTTAAGTGTAGGAGAGCCATGCTTCGGCACTGCTGGGCCGGCTCGACCGGAGTGATACCACGGCCGAGCAGAAAACCCACGTGAAACAACACCTGCGTTGTGTTTTGTCGTGTGAGTGAGGTTACCGGAAGCCCAACAACCCCCCCCCCCCCTCACCGCAATCCCTGAATCCCCAACAATCTTCAAATTCCTAATCTCAGTAACGCACTTGTAACGCCTCTAGTGTTCCGTGTGTCCATGGTCGACGCCGATTGCTTACCATCAAGTTGTCCGTCAGCTCGTTTACCGGTCCCGTAATTAAATACTGGTTTTGCGTAGCTAGATGTGTACAATCACTGACAATTAGCTTATAACGTCGAAAATATATTGTCACAGCAATTTTCACAACTGTACCTTTTATTTGCACTTAACTTAACCTTTATTGTAAAGGCCATACAGTCTAAATTCCTTTTCCTTTGATCTCAATAAAAATTGTTACCTAAACAGACGTAACAATCTTTTATTTGCACTTAACATGAGCCTTATTACAAAAGATATACAGTCTAAATTCCTTCACCTTAACGTCCAATTATAATTGTTGGTGAAACAACCACTTTTTATGTGCAGTTAACATAACCCTTGTTGAGAAGGTATAAAGCTGAAATTCCTTTAGCAAAATGCTAAACTAAAATTGTCAGCAAATAACATCTGGAATGCGATGTAATGCTTCGCAAATACTATTGAAAGTACTTACACTTAACATTAAGCCTAACATTACAAAACATACCTTAACTACAACGCTATAAGGATGAAATTCCCTCGAACTATAACAAATTTTTTCCCTCGAATATAAGGTACGGGAAAGTGATATCTGTTGTTAGCATTTTAAGGTTGTGTTTTCTTTGTAGGTGTGTTTGAGAGGATTTTAGCCTGAGAGTGACATAAAGGGCTTTTAATATATTGTTGATGAGGGTAGACTCAAATGGCTGGGGAATGCACAGACAGCTATCCGAAACCAATATATCATGGTCCAGCTTTATATGACCTTTGCGGACTTTCGACGGTCTGATTATACTGGTTATTTATAACGTGAACTGTGTGTTTAATGTTAGCTACTGTCCTGCTTACCCCGCGTAGGAATTGTGGGATTATAGATACAGAGTGATTTCCAAAGGATTACGCTTTTATATGTGGTGGAATGGTTGAAAATTGTAATTGAAGTGTTTGGTGTAAAAATCAGTTTAGTAATTTCACATATTATTTTTCTCATACAAATAAATAAATATCATAGTTGGGTAGTTTCTTGGGGCAAAAATAAATTATTTTGTTATTTCAGTCCAATTAAATATTGATATACTTAATTTTTTTTAATTTTATTTTTTTTATTTTAGATTTAATCTAATATTTTTTTTCGAAATGACTGCCTCGTTGGCCGAGTGGTGCGTCTGCTGGGCAAGGGGTCTCGGGTTCGATTCCCAGGTCGTGCAAAGTATTACTGGGTTTTAAAAAAAACTCAGTAGTAGCACGGAGTCTGCAAATGTGCTCGATATAATATGGCAATAGGCTCACCCCCTATTACATGGGACTCATAACATAAATAGTTAAAAGTGGGTGTTACATTATACAGTGGCATAATATGCACCTCTGCCTACCCCTTCGGGGATAAAAGGCGTGATGTTATGTTTATGTTTGTGTTTGTTTTTTTAGATATAAATGTGCTATTTGACGCGAAAATATGATGACGTCATAAGGTGGTATTTCGTACAAAATTCATAGAACAGTTGACGTTTTGATAAAAGTATTGAATTGACTAGTTGTCAACTAGGGTATTGTACATACTATAACAAAATTATCTTTGCAAGGGTGTCTATACTACAGTACGTATGCAACAGACGGACTGACAAATATTAACAAGTGATGCGTATACGGAGTGTCGGTGAGGGGCGCTGAGGGTCACTGAGAGGCACTGACAGTGACTGGTAAATGGTGTCTGAGAGGGATTACGTGACAGAGGACTGTTTGCTTAGTTAAAAGTATTTGTTGCATTCTTTAGGTTCGATACTCGAGTTGGTACATACGTGTGTTATTTTTGAGATTAATTTTTGAGTACTTTTGTCTTGTGCCACGAAGTAATATTAGAAACTAAAATATAAGGGCAAACAGAAGTCGTAATTAATTGTGAATCTATATATATATGTTATAAGTATAACATAACGCCTTTTATGCCCGAAGTGGTAGGCAGAAGTGCACATTACGGCACTTAATGCCAATGTAACACCCACTTTTCACTATTTTTATATTATGAGTCGCATGTAATAGGGGGTGAGCCTTTTGCCATATACCGGACACAATTCCAGGTTCCGTGCTACTACTGACAATTTTTTAAAAAACTCAGTAATACTTTGTTCGTCCCGGGCATCGAACCCGAGCCCCCTTGGCCAGCAGTCGCACTTGCTACCACTCTATGAATGTATGGTTAACTACCGATTTTATTAAATTGAGAAAAATAACTGAAAGAAAACGTTTTTTCGTTTACATATGGACAAAATAAAAAAAATTATCTGTTTTAAACTGTCAAACACCGCGAGGACACCGGTGACCGCAACCTATTGTTGTTTAATTGTGTCTCTAATGACGGTACTCATAATCAGACTAGATTCAACAAATTTAGAATATTTATAAGATGAGGATTTGAGACAGCAATGAAATAATAGCATTCATCTATAACAATAGAGTTTTATTTAAATAAAATAACAATATTTTAATAAAAAAATATAAAATATGAAACCTCGGAATACAAACCTATAACAATAGAGAATCGACAATTAATTGTCACTGCTTTAGCCCGTCGATCCTCACTTAAATTCTTTAAATTAAATAACTAAAATAACAAACCTATATTATCGAAATAAAATTAATTCTTTACAATATTTCAATTTGTAGCTAGAATATTTCAATTGACGTTTGTTTTATGACACGTGTGTCACCTTATCCAAAGACAATACAAAGCATGGAGGCTTTCATATTTATCTAGGCACTGTGTATATTCAGTACATTTAAAAAAAATACAACACAGAAGAATTTTGTTTATGTCAAAAAAACATTAATCGCAGTTCAAACTCATACCGACCAAGTCGAACCGCTTCCTCACACATCTGTGCTTACCCCCTTGCGTTACAAAGGGGCTCTGATTAAAAAGTCACTGCTTTTAATATCCAGAGCCCCTATGTCCAGGAATTTTCCTGGGAGTAGGGTGACTAGGATTTTGGTAGTTTGTGAGATTAGTCGTAATTTCTGTATATTTTATTTAATTATTTTATATGTTAATTAATCTTTATCGGTTCTGCTATAAATATAAAATAGTGACAACATAATATTAATCTTTTCCATTTTCCCTTTGTACTGAAAACATCGGATACTTTTTATATTAAAAACTAACTCGGAATTGCAATTTGAAACTTCTTGCGAGTCGCCGAAAATCATTCATCATTAAGATTTTTTCATAAAAACTGAAATAATATGGATTTTCAGAATGGAAATATATTTTTTATGGTACAGTAAAATTCGTATTTAAAGAACCAACGTCTTTATCAAAATCGGAACTCGGGAATTGCATAATATTTTCCTTAAGTCATGGTTACCCCACGTCTCGCCATATTGCACGTTAAGCACAGATGTCTACAATTTATACACAACGAGACCAACCCTATACAAATCTGAACCTTACACCAATACAACAAAGCACAATATCGTATAAACACATCACATGGGCAATTCTGCAAACAATACCTTTAGCATTCTGATTTTCAATATTATGAGCAGACAAACATACATTTGCGGTTCGGAAAATGAATTTTAAATCTTATGTAGAGGTGTTAAGGTTCATGGTGGAATGTTTGAAGTGTATGTGTGTTTTGCACGTTGATCAGTCAAGGTTTTGTCTCGTTGAATGATTACTTGCCCTTTGACAGGACTTCGAAATAGGGAAGATGAAGATTTTTGTTTTGATAGCTCTGTTATTCAGAATTTTCTGTAGTCTTTGTTTCCTTGGTACATTGTTTAGTAAAGAAAATTGCATCATTAACTAAAATCGCGGTTTACTGAGAAAAGCTCTACTAGTTTCGAACCACAGAGGGGTTCTTCCTCATGAGCAGCGTGCGCGGTCGCGGCGAAATCGCGCAGCTCACTAAGAGTGAGCGATATTATAAAAAATGCATCAGTTAAGGAACCAAAAATTTGATCAAACTTGCAATTTTTTAATGTCAAAAAGAATAATTTTAATGATATCAATAAAAGCATTTGAGATACTTTCAATAGTCCGTCATAATCCTGTTCTAAACTTTTCATTCGTTTTCGTCCCGAAATAAAATGGTTCTGTCGTGGTAATACAATAGTTTTACAAAGAAATATAATGTTTAAAATAACTGGTGAGCCATTGCCAAACATTATCAAAACATCACGCCGTGTAATTCCAGAAGAGGTATTTCTCGTCGGGTGGCACGTGCGATGTAATTACACCTACAAATTTACATCTAATGTCACGTATGCGAAAATCAATGAATATTTTTAAGACAAAAAAAAATAAGAATCATAAATACCTTTTTCAGTAACTATCTGAATAAATTAACTTAAAATACAACCATGATATTAACCGCTTCCCTCCTCCACAGCGATCCTCCCATACCGCGAGGACGCGCAGCCTCAGACGCGGGAGTTCCTGGCGAGGGTCGTGGATGTACTGCTCGACTTCATCCACCAGGTCAACGACAGGAATGAGAAGGTGGGTTTCTTGGAATAGCTACCTTCTTTCCTAGGTGGTAAGGTTAAATGTGAAGTGGATTGTTTGTGATGGTAGATGCATAGAATTGAGTGTAGAGTATTTGTTACTTTATCAAAACTAGCTTCTGCCCACGACTTCGTACGTTCAATCTCGTTTTCTCCCGTTCTCGTGGGATTTACAGGATTTTTTGTGTCTTGAGAACCTTCTCCTAATAGTAACAAATACAACAAACAAGAATTAGTGAAATCGGTCCAGCCATTCACGCACGATGCCGTGACCAAAGGAAAGAGGGATTCATTTTTATATATACACTAGCGGACCCAACAGACGTTGTCCTGTATATCCACTTGAATGTATAAACAAAAATTCATTCAAATTAGTTCAGCTGTTTAGGATAAATAACCTAAACACGACTGCAGCGCCATCTGCCGGGCTGATTTGTGAATCTAAACCATTGCCCAATTTCCTTTGAACACACACAAAAAATTTCATCAAAATCGATCCAGTCGTTTGAGAGAAGTTCAGTGGCATACACACTCACAGAAGAAATTTATAAATAAAGAATATAGAGGTATATAGAAGATATGTCTCATTATTCGATTCTTGACGTTCGATGTGAACAGACGTGCATACTAGAAATATTGAATCAAAGCAATAATAGTGACCTACATTATTATTCTGCTTATTGTGATACTTACATAGTTATAAATAATGGAAATACAAACTTAGTTATTTCGAAGATGGATTTAAACCCGAGCAAGCTGGCTTCCTGTACTTCACCATTAAAGAGCAGCCGTAATTCTGACTTCTCAATACAAGCTGTGTCGACGCCCGATATTCAAAATTGGATGTCAAACATTGAAGACCTGTTACATGAAGTTTGCACTATTTCCACAGAGGGCAAACTTAATTCGGACCAAAAACTTAAAATATCCAACCTGAGCCGAAAAATTGGTGCTGATGTCTCGCAAATGGCTGTCTTATACCAAGCTCTTAAGCAGCAAGCCCGCATAGCCGTCAACATTATAGATGAGATGAGAGAAAAGCAGGACCTTGTGGAACAAATTTCGGACATCAAGCAGACTATCAAGGATTCAGCATCAACGGGAAATGTTTCATTTGCTGACATGGTAAAGAAGGGAACTGACTTCGTGCGACCTACAAATCTGACTTCTATTGCAATTTACCCAGCAAATAAGTCAAAATCTAGCGATGAAACAAAATCTCTCGTCCAAAAAATCATACGCCCTGACCAATTGCAGCTACATGTGCGTGGTGTGCGTAAAATCCATAACGGAGGCGTTATAATCAGCACTGAGTCTAAAGAAGATGCTAAGAAAGTTAAAGACGCACTAGCCCTATCATCGTCTGGACTTATTGCCGATGAAGCAAAAAAACGAAAACCAAGAATCACAGTTCTAGGAGTGCCGTCTGTTTTATCCGATGCTGATGTCCTCAGGTGCATATTTGAACAAAACATAGCTGGTAAGCTCCAAGAGTTGACTATAGAGTCTTTCCTAACAAGTGTGAAGTTAAGTCACAAATCTGGCAGAAAAGACGCGCCGACTTGTAACTACATCATCGAAGTTCCAGCCAACATTCGTAAAGCGCTTATATTGCAAGAGAGACTCTATATAAACTGGACGTCTTGCCCTGTCAGAGACTTCACGTTAGTAACGCGTTGCTATAAATGTCAGCAGTATGGCCACGCGGCAAAGACATGCCGGGAGCTCTACTCAGTGTGTGGCCATTGTGGAGAAACAGGACACATGACATCCGTGTGCACGAAGACAATCGATTCCCCAAAATGTACCACATGCTCTCGCTTTAACAAGCCCAACGGTCACAAGACAGGAGACGCAGAGTGCCCAGCCAGGAAGATAGCCGAACACAGATATATCAATTCCATCGATTATGAAGGCGCATAAAGAGAAAATGCTCGAAGTCAGAATTCCAATTCGATTAGTCATTTCGTTTAGTTTAGTTCACTTGTATAACAATTGCACATTAACAGGTTGGCTTACTCAGCAATTTATTGCTGTCCAAGCACATTTGATCTAAGTGTAACAAGTGAGTGACCGTATGGACTCTGACCTAGTTTTTTGTGTTTCTGCAGACGATCTAAAATAATTGATAGCCTTGTAATATGTAATATTACCTAGATTATATACGAATATAGCTTTTATTTAATTTTATATTAATGTATTATGTAGGTTCAACTTTTTATTCTCCTTCAGGGAATAAAAAGCGTGATGTTATTATATGTATGTATGTATGTAATGTAGTATATTAAACAATCCTACCTTACTTCTGAAAATTCTGTTAAATATTTTAAATATACTATAAATAAGTTGTCTTATCAGTAACATATTTTTAGAGCTCCTGTCGCCTGTGACACAGGAATATTCCTAGTATAGGCATATTATTTTTAAGATCTTGTCGCTTAATTAAGATATTTTTGTACCTATGTTGACCAGTGTTCATATGAATAAAAATTTTATTATTATTTATTATTTTTATATTATTTTTATGTCAAAATGGGCTCCTTTAAGAAACGTTTGCAATCAGCTTCAGCTATGTTCAGCTAGAGACTATCAAAAATGAGATTTGTATCAAGTCAACTTGATAGATATACAACTCAACTTGAATGTTGATATTGAATATATCAATATAATTAAAAATACATATTTCCTTCCTTGGTCCAGATCCTGGAGTTCCGCATGCCGGAGGAGATGAGCAAGATGTGCGACTTCCAACTACACGAGGAGCCGCTGCCGCTGAAGCAGCTGCTCGAGGACTGCAAGCTGGCACTCAAGTACCAGGTCAAAACTGGTAAGTACTTACTTAGTCTGGATTTGCACGTGCAGGATTGCTTATCGATGTCTTATCGATAACTAAAGTTTTCGATGATGTAGTTTTAGGTACAAAAAAATCACGAAGACAGTCCCACTTCTAAGCAATCAAGTTATGGTTCAAGTGTTTTACCTTATACTGAACTCTAGATAATTGAGACATTTGGACATGCGTGTCTTAGTGTAGCATCGAGTTAATTTCAAAACATAAACTTCGGTATTAACAAAAACAGGCCAAGAGAATTCTACTTTAAATCCAACCAATACGGACGAATAAATACTTACTTCACTTTTAACTATCAATTTCACCATCCCACGCGTTATTTAACTCACTGTATCAAATCGCTTAAGAATGTAATTACTCTTAGACTGAACACTGAACTGTACAGTCATGTGCAGTCGACTGTGAGTATCTGAACTATTATTCCAACACATTTCATCCAGTAATTGAATTGTTTGCTGAGGGGGTTGGGTGAGGTCGGGGAAGATCGGTAACAGTCGGCAAATATATAAGGTAAAAATGTAGGAGTCGCGGAGAACCTAACGGGTAGCTGGGGCTCCGGCTCGACGTGCAGGAGAAGGAACGGGGTGATTTTTAGTCAGTAAGAGTCTGACACTCCCTCCCGCCTCACCCAGGCGGGAGCAGTCATTTGATGATTTTCCCCCCTTAAAAAAATCGGTAAAAATGTAAAATCAACTTCGTTCTCAGAAGATATATGTGTGAGAACAGGTGAACAATGGGAGAGCCACCAGGCTGATGATAATAAAGATGAAAACCTATGATGAAGGTATTGAAGACGTTGTTCCTTCCAAGACTTGCTAGAAAGAATTGGTCATTGGTTAAAAATTTAGAGAAGGTTCCTTGATCTACCAAGTGATTAAAATTATTTTTAGATTAACTATATTATATAAGTTTCATGAGACATACTAAATTAATTAACATATTTTTCGGCTTACTCACGAAATTATTTGAAGAGGAACTCGACTAGTTTCGAGCCATCCAAGAGACCATCCAGCATTCCGCGAGTCATGACGCGACGACTGTGATTTTATGACGATAATTTCCCATTGTCAAAACAAATGTGACGCAGAACCTGGAATTGAGTCCGATGTTTGGCAAAAGCTTACCATTAAATGTAGAAATCAGCAAAGAAATGTTTCTATTAGCACCTAACCTAACAGTCTTTAGAAATACTATTGTTTACCTTTATTTAACTGAATTTACCTAAAATAAACACCAAAATCACACTTCAAATCTTACCCTTGCCAACATACCAACATACAGACTATGTTTTACGATAGACGCAAGATTTGATGCGGGTAGGGTGGCAATCATTCCGATACATTTGAGGACATAATTGAATTGTTTGATACCGCACTCGTGGGCGGAGGGGACGATCGGAAACATTCGGAAATGCTCGGCTGTACTCGGAAATTACCGATCATAAAACTGTGGACTTTAGATTCGTGTGGAGCGTTTGGAATTTAAATTAGGTTTTTTGGAATTTAAATTTGGTTTCTTGTTTTTTTTCTTGTCCTCGAAGGTGGGAAAACTCGAGATTGTTCTGCCTATTTTTTATGTATGACTGACTATGTAGATTAATAAAAATAGTGATCGTTCATACCAGAAAATGGTATAAATTTTAATATGTACGTGAGCTGTTATTCAGAACCCAATGAGTATCTTTTTAATAGCAGGATGAAAAATATTCACTGTTTCTATGATATATATGTCGGTTTTGTATATTGCTTTGATATTTTCCTTAAAAATACCGCAAAGAAAAAATACAAAACGGTTTTTGTATAATGCTTCGAGTAATTCAACCGCTAATATAGTATATAGGGATATAGGGAAGCATTAACGTAATCAACTAGATACCAATATTACCAAATAAAAATATACTGTAGTCAGGAACTTTATAGGCAAAAAAAATACTATACCATCTTCTTGTGGGAGTTCATATGTATATAGCCCACTGTTTTCTAAATATGTTATATATATAGAAACAGTGAATATCTTATTATGAAAATACAAATGTACGTGATTTGATTTAGAGTTTATTTCGAATTCCAAACATCATGCCAAGCGACCGTACCTGGCACAGACCACAACAAAGCCTAATCCAACCAAACTCAACGACAAAATGGACCTTGTAATAATTTTACACAAATCCATACACTGCCTCCCATCTTCATACATCAACATACCCCGTCACTTCCACTCACATCTGACATAGCAGCGCATCAAACGCAGTGCCCTCGTATCACATGCTCGGCCGAGCGTTAGACAACCGGCGAGCGACGCCGTGCCCTACTGAATAGATTGATTGTTGAGTTTCAAGTGAAGAATTACGAAGAATGCTTTTAGAAAATAGGGGCTTAGATTTTTAAAGATTATTGTGGATGAGTGCTATTTGTTTTTGTTTTAATATCGAACTGTCGTACTCAGATATACATACATAATAATATACATATAACGATTCCTTAAACTATTTCATACAAACAATAAATAAAATAAAATAAAAATCATTTTTATAATACCTTTGTTGAGTGTGAGACAGACTAAATTAAGTAAAATCGCGGGTTACTCACGTGAATATGCTGAGAAAAGCTCTACTAGTTTCGAACCATAGAGGGGTTCTTCCTCATGACCAGCGTGCGCGGTCGCGCGCGCTCGCAGCGCAAGTAGCAACACCGATGCGAGCAGTGAGCTGCGTGACATCGCAGTCATTTATTTCGGACACCTAAGAGATCCATAAGATTAATATCTAATGACGAATAACGTAGGTTTTCTGAAAATAACTGCTAAAGATTGCCTTAGGTAACTATTCAATGGCTCTGAGAACGTCTGTAAAAGCATGTTTGCTAATGTTAGTTTTATTTTAGTGAGCCTTACATATAGCCATTACAGTGTATGCTAATGGGAATGCAAGGAGTGTCTATATATATGCCTGTCTTCCAGCTGATTGTGAACAGAAAGTTCTTAGTAAAATACCAACTCTAAAAGGTATGAGACACAGTAATAAATAAAAAAAAAACTAGTTAAGGCTTTAAACGCCCATAGAAAACTGTTGAAGGCAAATCCTCCGCTAATGTCGGTCACCGGTGATCACCATGGCGTTTAATGTGTTAATAAACCAATTGGTATTTAAACTTCCGCTATAAATAAACACAATTTTCTTCAGTACAAATACAGTTCCAAAATACTTCGTACTCAACACACTTGATCACGAAGTAACCGACAAATTTAAAACGTATTCAAAATAAATTCCCATTCCAATAGACTTATAGGCTTTACTCGCAAAGTCTATAAACTGAAGTTTGGGGTGAGGCTGTATGGCCGTAGAAACAGTAAACTTGGCGCGTAAGTGGCAGGGCGCGGTGATGTCACGCAAATCATTGGATTACCGCTCTGTGGGACTAGGGTGTACTCGTGAGAGACCATTTTGGAAACTAGTGCAAAGCATAATGAATCTAAAAGGTTTTTTTTATGGCATAAGCCGGTAAACGAACAGACGGATCACCTGATGGTAAGCAATCGGCGTCGCCCATGGACGCCTGGAACACCAGAGGCGTTACAAGTGCGTACCGGCCTTTTGGGGATTAAGAGTTTGAGGATCGTTGGATTCAGGGATAGGGGAGATTGGGGAAGGGGAGGGTAATCGGGCCTCCGGTAACCTCACTCACACGACGAAAAACAACGCAAGCGTTGCTTCACGTCGGTTTTCTGTGAGGCCGATCACTCCGATCCAGCCGGCTCAAATTTTTGAATTACCTATAACACAATATTCCATTATACCTATGCAACACTGCACAAAATCTTTGCAAAATTTACGAAAGTCTGCAAGATTTTTTAAGAGATAAAAAAATACAATATCATTCTAGACGAGACAGACGTGATATAGTTTCTTCTTTAGTATTGGGCATATACTTATTAGATCTCTAATAAATAGTCTGTTTCAGTTGTGTTAGAAATAATGTTGACCAATTTAATTGGAAACAAAATATAATAGCTCTTTTAAGTCAGCTAAGTAAAATAGCATTCAGTAAAAATATCGGTGGGTAACAACTCACGTGAATTTAAAAATCACAAAATCTAACACTTAAACCGTATTTGAAAGAAAGAAAGAAAAAACATTTACTTAGCACCAGGCACGATGCAGCATAAATACAATGTAAAAAAGACAATCAAGGTGTGACAGAGGAAGTAATAAAAATATAAGAGTTGAAAAATTAAATAGACGAATTATATTATTATTTTCAGTCTATTTTAACTGTGTATCTCTTCAAAATCACTCACGATGGTCGCCCCATCTTATCCCCATCGCTCCCATATTAACATAGTGTGATGGATCATCCCCCGCCGTCCATTGTTGCCCATAGATTAGCATTCCACAGTTATGGATTGATTTTTATACACCCTGTGAGTGGGATTATGCCCCGGTCTATGGAAATGTGAAGAGGGGCTTTAGATTTGTGTGTTTTTATTTAAAGTGTAGTGAGTCTCAAGTCGGGTAAAAAATTGTCAAATCAATTAATTGTGTTTTAGTTATGTGATCTCGAATTTTGTTCAATATGAGTGTGTTAATCTTCTCGTGATGTTGATTATTGTTGTATTTATGCCTCGTAACTAATTAATTGACTTTAGTTAGGCCTTGTTTGTATTATAGTGTAATAAAATTGATTATTAGTTAAAACATATAAAACTAAGTATGGACCTTCGATGTCGTGGTGGCTCGGAGGTTTCAGACGCTTGTCATGTATATAGGTGCCGGTTCGAAACCTACCAACAGAAAGTACCAATGTGACTTTTTCCAAGTTGCATATTTATTTATTTATTTCTTCTTCACCAAAGATAACAGTAAACGGCGGACTTAATGCCTTAAGGCATTCTCTGACAGTCAACCATAGGGAAGTGCAGAGAAATGAAACGGTTGATGCGAAGCAACAAGAACACAGTACCTAAATAAAGGGTACATA